CTGGGGAAGGGAATCCTCACTGGAGCACGATCCGTCCCGGTTCGAAACTAACACTAACACTGCTTTCGACGAAATCTCTCTTTATATTCATGGTAAGCGGAATAAAGTTCTCCTTCCTATGACGCACATTTTCGGTTATTTGAGACTTCTAATCGACTCGGGCGTTTCTGCAAACACGAAACTGGTCCCAGCACGTTACGTGAAGAGAATGACAAGACGCGTGAGCACCTGACTTTGTGAAAAGTATCTCAGAATGAAAAATCAACAGATTAAATAATTTTATTCATCCCAGATACATATCACACGAGATAATTACGAAAGCAAAACAGTTGAGTAAAATCGTATTTCAAACCCGAGTTACGGAGTGCGTTCTCAGCATCGTCGCCATAATCGCCGGGAAAGTCCAACCAAGGAACCCAGCCGGGAAGCCCGGAATAGGCCAACCCCGGACCTGCGGTGAAATCTTCGTCAACGATTTGTCAGTAATCATCCAGATTAAATTCATCATTGAAGTCAAGATCAGCACCAGCGAGGTGAGCAAAATCGACTTGGTAACGTAGTATACCTGTGGTACAAAACGCATGATTAGTATAGATCTTGGGAGACAATTCGCATTTGTTCTGGCTGTGTGCGGTACTCACCTCCAATACCACCAAACCCACGCACAAACTGCGCACCTTCCTGCGATCGATCAGTGACGATTTCCAAAATGGTCCCGAAGGAGCGGTAATTGAGAGCTAGCCAGTCTAATAGCAGCTGCGTGTCAACAACTTCCAACTCAACCCCAGTTTCGGTATCGAGGAAGTGCTTTCGATCTCGCTCTTGATCGGGTCTAAGGTGAATAATTTTCAATTCTGTAAGTGGAAAGATGTTCGGAACGGAAATGCGCCATCAGAATCATACCACCTCTGGTTAACGAGGGCTGTCTTACAGTCCCAAGTACGGTCAATATAGGTAACAAAATATATTACCGGACACGGTTGAGCTGCGGGAAACACAAATCGTATTCAGTCATAAGAGCGACGTTTCTTTAGAAATCTTCAACATTTCGAGCAATTCCATCTGGAATATAGGTCGAAAATGAAGAAATGATTATGCCTGATAATTTTGATCAGGTGACTGTTTGGCTCTGCCTTTTGCAATTGACGCTACTCACATCAATGCACCAAGAAAAACCAGACTTGATTTACGTCGCTTGTACTTCCAACCAGTTATATTTGAACTGACTGGTTAATGCAGCGACGAAGAATACATGGTATCAAACGTATGTAGGAATGCAGATTCTTTAGGCCATAAAGGAACGAAAATCTGCACGCTCTGAAACTACAACCAGTGTAGTGTACAAATAGAGCGCTCGTGAATCTACTCATTATTCTTGAGACCTCAGTATATATAAACTCGCTCTTCCGCCTGAATCCGCTCTCAACATTCTAATGTTCATTCTGCAGTTTTATCCAAATGGGCAACCAAAACCAGCGCACGGAAATGCATGGTTAATGGTTGTGTGAACTGGATTGAACAAATAGAGCCGGTTTGCTACCCGAGGCGAGAGGACAAAAACACTGTAAGAAACGAAAGGCGTGATCAACACTTGCGTATGTAACAAAATCATACTCACATGTAAGGCATGCTTTGGTCAGCCGTTCACATAGCGTGGCGTTGCGTATCTTAGCATGACATCATGGAGCAAGCGATATCGCATTTTATTACTGATAGTGACCACTGCCAAGGAGCGCTCGATATCCCACGCTCGGGATTTGGTAAATGCTTCATGACGTTACGCAATAACTGATGAGGCCGTATAATCAACACAGACATCGCCACCCAAACATGTCATGAAGGACATTTTTCATAATCAATAAGCGATTAATCTCACGATAGGGGGAACGCTACGGCTACCAATTGAGCGTACCACGTTTAACGCAACCAACTGTACGACTATCAGTCAATGGGCGCAATAAATAAGGTGCCTGCAAACTGGCAGGATATGCTTAGTTTAGTCCCTTTCATTGCACTACTACTTAAGGGCAATTAGGGTTTGACCGGGTCGAGGGGTTTCAACTAAGGGGTTCCTATCCGGAGCCTTCAACAGAGGCTTGAAAGGGAGCACGACGACGTCACTACCAGGTAGTTGTGGGTTTCAGGCTGATCAGCTGGCTTATGCTCGAAAGCCGTATAAGTCTAATGACAGTGTCACGACCAACGTCAATGTGACTGGTCTTTCAAAACTAGGGTCATTGACCCCTTTATTTTCGGGGTGAGCGATTACTCTCTGCAGCCTTGTAGTTCGCACTTGGTTGTGCAAAGACTGGAGGTGCGCCCTCAAAATGAAAAACGCTGAGCGCCGCTGGGGGCTTCTCTGGTACCAAACTCGCAAAGGACTCCATCATCTTGATTATGATCACGCTCATTCTTTCCAAGGGGCCAGCCGAAGTAAAGTTAAGTAAGATGGGGATCAGGATTCACAAGCCACTGATGTTCATCAGATTACTTATGCCCTGGTCTATCAACAACCCCTAGCTGATCAGCGGAAACTAAAGCACGGCAGGTGTGACTGCAGCTTCCCACCGTCCAATTGGACGAAACTGGGGCCCGCACAAACAGCGGTGATAACCGACAAACGGGTTACAAGGAGTATCGCAGGTTATTACTATCAGTACTACAAATTACATATGTACAATGACCCCCACTGTGAGGATCGAAATATTAAGAGTAAAAATAAAATATAATGATTTCAAGGCTGTTGGAGCATATGGAGGATATCGCCGGCTCAGGCAGATACCCCTTACCGATGCTCTGACCCGACCAGCACTCAATCCGCGATGCGAAAGAAGCTGATCGGATCAATTCCATTGATGTTCGTCATGAATGCTGTCATGTAGCACTCATGCCTTGACAGTCATTCTGGACGAGTTATTCATGTTTGGCTTACTCTCATTCGTGGTCAGCTTCACTTCAGATTTTAAAACCACTTCCGTGTCGTTGTTTCGGTTGCTTTCTTTAGCGTGCCCGTTCGTATATAATTTAAGATTGGGATACTGAGGGCACATCCCAAAGAGAAAATAGACGCATAACCCAGTCTCTTTGTTGGGGTTTTCACATCCCCGTGTCGGACCCTGCTTCGATCACACTTCACTCATACATGTGGAGAGGCACCCTGCTGAAACTACAGAACCTGTTCGCGTACAGCACCTACCTATGAAGGTAGCACAAAAATTTGCCGCTGAGTTCAAATTTTTCTGACACAGATAGGTCGATTCGAAAGTGCATAATCCACGAGCATGTTTAATACCTGCTATCAAACGATACAAACCCACAGTGAAAGAGAACTCTCAGCCTATTTCATTGGTTCAACATTATGGTCTCACCAGTTCAGATTGCATAGTAGACGAACACTTTTTTGACGTCGCTACGTAAATTACGTCGCCCCGTTGATCACTCAGGGCTTGGTGACGACGAACATTAATAGTGACATATGGGACTCACCCTCGGAAGCTGGAGCTTTCAGAACATAACGATTGATGCTCAAATTTTCCCACACAATGAGTGTCTCCACGGCGCCCATCTCCAAGGCCTTGAGAGTGTCATCCACGCCAAAACAGTAACGACCACTATCCTAAAACGGAACATAGTTACAGATAAGACACTTACTTGAGATATCTCGTCGAAATAGCGTTGGATCAGTTTCTTTTCCNTCCTGGATATATTTTACTCCGGAAAGTGCATCTGCAGATAAATCGATTGCTTGATTCAAACCGTGTTCACCACCATACGAAATGTCGACTATTTTTATCAGTTTAGCTTGGAGACGCTGAGGGTTTGATAGTAACCAAAGGCGAACATACCTGGTCAAACATATCAGACTGACTTAATTCGCTTTTGAAGTCCGCGATCCCAGCCAACACTAAACCTTCAATATTCACCTTATCATTTGTGATGAACAGCTGAGTAGCTGTTTCCGCTACTTTGCGGACATAATTATGACGTTTTTCAATGCGGAGACGAGCAAACCGCAAGGCTGACTGACCACCCCGACCATGCTTCTTAGGTAACTCCACGGTGAACTTGTGAAGCACCTCACGCGTATTTCCGGAGAGAGTTCCGTACAGAGCACCATTACCATCAACAATGATGAAACCGAATTTGTTGTCATCAGCTAGAAGGGCCGTGAGAGCCTGCCAGATGTAGAATGCGAAATGAAAACTTACTTCCGTGTGAAACTTATTGTCACACAAATAGAGCGATGTGTTAACGGGACGGAAGGGCTCGAAATCAATGTTCACTTTCTTCTCTTTCCCGTCATCCGTCACTATAGTGCCACAGTAAACCACCAAACCATTGTTTGGAACTGTAAATGACAATCATCGGCGAGGTATACAACTCACCCTTGTTGTACAGCTTCAATCTCTGTTGAACTGAAGTGATGGCACTCAAAACCGAGAGGCGATTCACACGACTCTTAATATTAGATGCAGTTCCGTACTCTTCAGCAAGCAACTTAGCCACACGGGTGATTTGATCTTTTGGAGGAATGATGAGGGAAATCATACTCGTCCCGTTGCTATCAAAATGTGGTTGAAACAAAAATAAACTGACCCACGGGCAGCCTCGAGACTCTTGATAAGCTTTTTAATACGCCACATTTCCACATTTTTGTCTGCCTGTGAGAATTCACTCTCACCATTAGCGTTGGACATCTTGCTGCCGGCTGCTACGAATGCGTGTGGATACAAAGATAGTGCACGCTAGCGTGACACCAGACCGTTTTAAACAAACTGGACGTCGAAGACAAGTATCCAATAGAAGCCTTCCAAAGCAATGACCCTGATTCACTATCTGATCTTTCATTCAATCTATCATTTGAAATGCACTTGTTCTGTTGGCGGTCTGCTTGGAATACTAGCGGACCGTGGCAACTGTTCTGATAATAACGAAAACTTTTAACGTTTTCCTATCATCAAAAGCATGCAATTAGTCACCATTTCCAAGGAACTTGGAATCTCTTTCACTAAAATCTTCCTACGGGAGCTTCCAGAACTCCTTCGGTAGTGTGCTCAAACGATGGACGTCCATCATTCCCATTTAAAAATCTAGCGCATCCAATTCAGTTCAGTCAGGTCAGGTCAGGTTTCTAGGACGAAAACAGGCTTTCGCCTAACGAGCGTCCAGATTCATACACCAG